TAATATGTGCGAAAACGATCAGATGGTTGTCATTAAGCACTCGGCCTTTGAAATCGATATCTTAAGGATGATATTGAGGTTTAATTTTGAAGACCAGTATTTTATTGTCAATGAGGTTAGTGATATAATATATTATATATTAATTTTTTTATGTGATTGAATTTTATATACTTTTTATTTGTATCCAGAATAATAAGTCACATTTAATTCGGTTGAATCTATTTGAGAGTTTTCATAATCCACTCATGAATATCGGTTCCTATATTTATCACAAAAAGTTTTTGCAAAATATGGGACTTGATTGGGACTCCGATAAACTTATCATTGATTTGGTTAGTTATCTAATTTTTATGATAACATTATAAATCACACTGTACTAATTACAGTATTTTATGAATACAAATAGCTAACAGCAATCATACTGTTTAATCCTAACCGTCCGGGTCTACAGAACCAGCAAATTTTTAAGTAAGTTATCAATTTAATCTGATTTTAATCAATATGATTTTAATCAAACATATTTGTTTAAATAGATTTTAACTGATCATTCATTATGTTTTAGGTATCAACAAAATATTTATATATATCTTCTACAGCGCTATTTTCATATGAAGTATCGATCGGAGTTACTATCGGAAGTAAAACTATCTAGATTAATAAATAATTTAAAAATTTTGAACATAATTAGCGGTAAAATATGCTGTAATTCAAAGGTAGTTGATATGAAATCTTCGCCACTATTTCATGAAATTTGTGAACGAAATTAATAAAATGCTAATTTAAAATGAAACTGTGAATTTTATTTATTTGCTATACAAATTTTCCACTATCCACACCTGTAGCTAATCATCTAATCATCTAATTATTTAAATGTGTGTTAATTATGTTTACAACATACCGGTACATAAACCCTAAACTAAATGTTATTTTTATCTGTGATAAGATAATTAATACCATGGAAACTATGTTTATTTTTAACAAGGATATTACACCAAACCTTTCTAAATAGTTCTAAGTAATACAGCAAAAGTAATTGTACCTTATGGTATCTACAGTATTTGTTAAGTTTATTTTGGGTAGACCGTGTGTCTTAAAATATCAGTATTTGTAAATGGCATTTAAAGCAAATAGGAATTGCCTTGTATGTGATGATATAGCCAGTGGTGAGTTTGAATAAAAAATTACATTAAATACTCTTTATTTATAATATAATCGGATGTATTGATGGTTAGCCTATCATTTCGGTGGTTTGAGTTGCAATTCGTGTAAAGCATTCTTCAAGAGAAGTGCATTGATATACGGGGTATGAGATATACGATACTATTGACAATAAGCTAATTTATTTATTTATTTCTACTAATTTAGACACAATTTAAATGTTATTTTGATGGCAAATGCCAAATTACTGTCGAAACTCGTGCTGAGTGTAGGAAATGTCGTTTAGATAAATGTTTTGCCATCGGAATGAAAACTGTATTTAAAAATATTGAGTTTAATGTTTGACAATATAATCACTTATTAATTTGATGGTATGTTTTAGAGTAAGTTTTATACTACACAACAAAAAGAGATGAGAAACTCAATCATCGAAACGAATAGAAAAAGGAAACAAAATATGATTACATGTAATGAAGTGGTCGTTAATTCAACTACAAGTCTATCGTCAAGTCATTTGCAAAACGATTTAATGGATTCACTCAATACAATGGTTGTAAACATTGAATATGAAAAACAAGACAATATTAACCATAATTTCAACACTGTATCAGGGCATACATACAAATCAATAGTTGGTATGCAAACTAACTTTATTAATGACCAAAGTATTGGTAAACAAACGGATAACGTTTATAATCTCAAGAATAATGCAAACCTCGTTAACCATTTCGTATATAATGAAAAGTCCAGTCTCTCGGTCACACCAATCTTGAGGCCAATCACCGATTATAGCAATCAGTTCAATGAATTAGAGGGCAATAAATTGAGTGAATTATTGAATGCCATGACTATTATGCAAATGCCAACTATTTGTGAAAATTTATCACTTATTGATAGCTCTCATGAAGCGAAGAATATAATGATGGGTAGAATTGATGACAAAATACGAAAAATCATAAAAATGTCCAAATGTTTGACACCATTTAAAGATCTATGTGAAAATGATCAGTTAATACTCATTAAGTATTCATCCTTTGAAATCGGAATCTTAAGAATGCTTTTATGTTTCTATTATGAGGACAAATATTTTATTGTGACCGAGGTATTCAACACATGAATTCATTTAATAATTATTATGATTGTTGTTGTTCATTTTCTTTAGAATAACACATCGCATATAATTAAACTGGATTTATTTCAAGGATTCTTTAAGCTATTCAAAAAGAAAGATAAGTTTAAAACTCGTATAAGTTATAATAAGATGTTTTTCATGAAAATGGGACTTGATTGGGATACAGACAAACTTGTTATTGATCTGGTTAGAACTTCTATTTTAAGCGTTAATCTTGTTATTAATAATGATTATTAATATTTGTAATATAGTTAACTGCAATAATTCTGTTTAATCCCGAGAGATCACATTTGACTCATAGAGAAATGGTTAAGTATGTTATCAAATGTAGAAAAATTATTTTTTAAATATTCTTCATTTATAGGCACCAACAAAATATTTACATACATTTACTTCAACGTTATTTACAAATGAAATATAAATGTCGATTTCTATCGCATGAGAAATATTTAAAATTTCAAAATAATATCAAATATTTAAATATATTAAATGAGATAATGGCTCGCAATTCAAATGCAATTGATTTGAAATCACTGCCACTTTTTCGTGAGATTTATGATCGATAATCATTATTTGTATTACAGATTCATTTAATATTATATTTACATTCAATGTTACTTTATTGACTAATTATTATTATTTTAACATTATTTTTATTATCAATTTATTTAATTATCAATCGAAATAGATATTACCATGTTCTGTTATCAATGATAAGTTATCATGATTCATGAGTGTCTTTTTTAGTAAACATTTATGTAATTCATAAAAATAAATAACAATTTAAGTATAATATTTACCAATTAATTAAAGGTATGCTAAAAATAAAACAAATTAATAACCAGGTAAAAGTCATTGTAATTAAATATAGGCAAACTCTAATTAACAAAAATGATATTTGATTGTGGTGTACCGAGATTATGACCACTAATAATTAAATCTTAATTTAGATTTATTAAGTAATATAATAGTTGTTTTGAAACTTAAATTTTGAAATATTAAAGTAATTGAATTTATATCGACGGAAATGTCCTGATGGTTTTTATTGAACGTGAATTTTTTAAGGTTATGTTTAAAATCATATTTCGATAGCAACTATGAATAAATTTTAAATTAAAATATATTTCCGTTCATGTAATACAAAATCAGTTTTAATTGAAAATTATTTTCCAATAAAACCTTATGTATAAACAAAAAGTATTTGAAAATACACTCTCATTATAAGATTTATTTGTATTTAACAAGCAATTCTTACCAGATACTAAATGGTTGCTTGCTTAGCGTATATATCACTAACCTCATTGACAATAAAATACTGGTCTTCAAAATTAAACCTCAATATCATCCTTAAGATATCGATTTCAAAGGCCGAGTGCTTAATGACAACCATCTGATCGTTTTCGCACATATTATTAAATCCGTCCAAACGTTTAGACATTTTGACTACATTTGCAATTTTGTCATCAATTTTGCCGATAATTATATTCAGGGCGTCGACACAATTATTAACTATTGAATAATCAGTGGAAACGTCCGATATTTGCAATACTTTTAGAGCATCCAATAATTCACTCAATTTATTGCCCTCTAATTCATTGAACTGATTGCTGTAATCAGTGATCGGACTACTGATTGGTACGACCAATAGGTCCGACTCATCACTGCCGTAGGAATTGTTACATAAATCTTCAAAATTATAATCAATTTCTAAGATACCCAGCTCATTATTAATACTCATTGTTTGCAAAGAATTATTTGCATTCAGTGATAAACTTAGGACATTTGAGTTACTATTAATTTGATTGTCGTTTAAATTAGCATTTACTGTGTCATCAATAATATTGATGATCTGGTCATCACATGTTTGTCCCAAGATGTCTGAATAGCTAGTCATAGACAGCGGAGGTGATGGCAAAGCTACCACTGAATTAGCATTAGTTTGTGTGGAATTGGATTTCTCCGGATTCTTGAGTTTCCGGTTCTTTTCAATAATACATATTCTCTGCTGTTTCTGCTCTTCCGATTGAAACTTACACTAAAATATAAGCCGTAAGTATTCATTACATTCATTATTATGGCTAAAATTAATGCTTACAGTTTTCATGCCTATTTGAAAGCATTTATCTAAACGGCATCTCTTACAGAAGTTTCTATTCTCTATGTTTATTATACAATTACCGGCCAAATGACAGGTGAATGTAGTCTAAAATTGTGTAAAATTTATAAAAATCACTTATGTATGATAGATATCCATACCTTCAAGAAAGCACTTCTCCGGAAGAATGATTTACAAGAATTGCAACTCAAACCATCGAAATGATAGCCTAAATATACAGAATTTATTACCTAATGAATATTAATACACGTTAAACTCACCAGTTGCTAAGTCGCCGCAAATGCGGCAAAACTTTTGTGGTTTTTCACACATTATAAAATTGAAGTTTAAGCATACATTCTATTAATAGTTATTAACTCGGCTAACTAAACAAATTTGAATTTTATTTTATACACTTTCAAAAGTCACGTTCGCCAATATGACAATCTAATCATTCATGTAATTATTAAACATAATCTTAGGTACTTCTACATTTTATAGAGTTGATAGTGTACTTTTTATCTAAAATTCCAATAATTCACGAATTATACAGTATGTCTATGTTACTAACTTTATTAATAATAATGTATATTTTGGCAGTTATAACCAGATTTTCAATCATCAATTTTTTTTCAGTACAACTAGTACTCCACGTCTGATTATGATAAGTGATTAAACAAGAAATAAGGTCTTAATGATACAATTAATGTTCAAATAATAAATAATATTTAGCTAAAATAATGTACCGAATATGCACTACGGTACAAAATAATACAGTTAATAATAAGATTAAAATGAATTAATTGTTTAATCATTTCTATCGCACACTTCCCTAACCAATGGAAACTTTGTTAAATCCATGACATGTGCATAAAAAGCAATTTTATGGTTTAATATATTTAAATAAAATAAATTATCCATAAGTCGTTTGTATTTGACATCCGATAGTAATTCCGATCGACATTTCATTTGCAAATAGCGTTGAAGTAAATGAATGTAAATATTTTGATG